TTAAGTTCATGTGTGGATATAACTCTTTAAATCAGTTGGGTAAATATGTAGTAGTATGATTGCTGTAGTAGTATGTAGTAGTAGTAAGACTATAGTTTTGTAAGAGACAAACTGTTTTCCAAAGTGGGTGTACCATTTTGCATTCCCACCAGGAGTAAATAGAGTTCCTGCTGATCCACACCCTTGCAGCATCTGATATTGTCAGTTGTTTGGATTTTAGCCATTGTAATTGATATAAAATGGTATCTCATTGTTTTAATCTGTAGTCCCTAAAGACAAATGATGTTGAGCATTTCATCATATGTTTATTTGCTAACTGTGTATCTTCTTTGGTGAGGTGTCTGGAACTTTTGCCCATTTAATTGGATTGTTGGTTTTCCAATTATTTAACGTTAGGAGTTTTTTGTAGACTTTGGATACAAGTCCTTTATCAGATATGTGTTTTGCAAATATTATTTTCCAGGATGTGGCTTGTCCTCTCATTCTCTTACAGTGTCCTTTTCAGAGCAGATGTTTTTAATTTTAATAAGATCCAGCTTAATCATTTTTTTCATGGATCATGCCATTGTTATATTTAAAAACTCATCACCAAACCCAAGGTTATGTAGATTTTCTCTTATGTTTTCCTCAAGAAGTGTTATAATATTGCATTTTACATTTAGATCTGTTATCCATTTTAAATACATTTAGGTCTATTATCCATTTTAAAAACATTCAGGTGTAAGGTCTGTATCTAGGTTCATGTTTTTGCATAGGAATGTCCAGTTTTCTCAGCACCACTTGCTGAAAAGACTAGCCTTTCTCTTTTGAATTGCCTTTGCCCCTTTGTCAAAGATACATTGACTATATTTGTGTGGGTCTATTTCCAGGCTCTCTATTCTTTTCCATTGATCTATATGTCTGTTCTTTTGCCAGTACTCTAGTACCTTGATTATTGTAGCCTTCTAAGTCTTAAAATCAGAAAGAGTGAGTTGTCCCCAATTTGTTCTTCTTTTTCAGCATTATGTTGGCTATTCTGTGTCCTCTTTTTTTCCATATACACTTCAGAATTCTGAGTTTCCTGAGTCCTACAAAATAGCTTGCTGGCATCTTGATTGGGTTTGCATTGAGAACTGACATCTTAACAATATTGAGTCTACCTATCCCTGAAAATGGAATATATCTCCATTTATTTAGGTCCTTTTTGATTTTTTTTATCAGTATTTTGTAGCTTTCCACATATAGGTCCTGTATATATTTTATTAAATTTATACCTAAGTATTTAATTTTTTCAGGTGCTATCATAAATGGCATTTTTAAAATTCCAAATTCCAGTTGTTCTTTGCTCATATATAGGAATGCATTTGATTTTTGTTTATTAACCTTGTATCCTACGTCCATGCTGTATTCACTACTCTATTTCGGGAGGTTAGTGTTTGGGGATTTTCTACATTGAAAATCATGTCATTGCAAATAGAGACAGTTTTATTTCTTCCTTTCCAAATGGTGTACTTTTTATTCCCCTTTCTTCTTGCAGTAGGAGGGTTTTCAGTACTATGTTGAATAGGAGTTGTGAGATACCTTTCCTTGATCCCAGTCTTTGGTGGGAAGGCATCCAGTTTCTCATCATAATGTATGTTAGCTGTAGGTATTTTGTAAATATTCTTCATCAAATTGAAAAAGTTCCCCTCTGCTCATAATTTGCTTAGTTTTTATCATGAGTAGGTATTGGGTTTTGTCAGATGCTTTTTTTTTTTTTTGCATCAATCGATATGATTATATGATAATTCTTTAGCCTGTTGATATGGTAGATTATATTGATTAATTTTCAAAGGTTGAACCAACCTTGCATACCTGGATAGATCCCACTTGGTTGTCATGTATAATTCTTTTTATACATTGTTGGATTCTACTTGCGAATATTTTGTTGAGGATTTTTATGTCTGTGTTCATGAGCAGTATTGGTTTGTAGTTTGCTTTTCTTGTAATGTCTTTATTTGGTTTTGGTATTAGAGTAATGCTAGTCTTATAAAGTGAATTAGGAAGGGTTCCCTCTGCTTCCTTTTTCTGAAAGAGATAATGAAATATCATTTCTTCCTTCCTTAAATGTTTGGTAAAATTCATCAGTGAAGCCACCTGGATCTGGTGATTTGTTCTGTGGAAGGTTACTAATCATTGATTCCATTTCATTAATAGATACAGGGCTGTTTGGGTTATCTGTTTCTTCTTGTGTGAGTTTTGGTAGCTTTTGTCTTCTAAGGAACTGGTTCATTTCATCTGATTATCAAGTTTTTGGGCATAGAGTTGTTAATAATATTCCTTTATTTTCCTTTAGTGTCCATAGCATCTGTAGTTATATTCCCCCTTTCTTTCTGATATTGGTAATTTGTGTTTCTCTCTTTTCTTGATTAGCCTAGTTTATTAATTTTACTGATTTTTTTTTTCAAAGAAAAGAGTTTTTGGTTTCAGTGTTTTTTTTTTCTGTTTGTCTATTGTTTTCTTGTTTTTAATCTTATTGGTTTCTCTTCTATTCTTTGTCATCTTTGCTTCTACTTGTTTTGCTCTTCTTGCTCTCCTTTTTCTAGTTTCCCAAGGGGGAAGCTTAGATGATTGACTTTTAGATCTTTCTTTTTTTAACCTGTGCACTTAAGTTATAAATGCCCCTCTAAGCACTGCTTTCACTGCATCCAACAAGCTTCACTTGAATTTCAGATTTTTGCTATCACTTTCCATGATGATTTTTTCCCCCTCCATATGTTCTTTTTATGGCTTCTCATTCCTGTGTCATAGTTGCATTGTTACTTTTCTGAGAATATTAATTAGTTTATTTGAAGTTTTCTTCTGTTTCCTGCATTGTCTCTTTCTCCAAGTTCCTTCTGTTTGTTTTGATGTCTTATGTTTTTGTGTACTATTGTATATGTATGGTATAACCACGATTTAAAGATGGAAATAAAAGAAGTAATGTGCTTTGTTAAATTAGGATGACATACCACTGTTACTGAAAATTGTTCTGAAGTTTACCTGTTGCCAGCATAATTATTGTTCCTTTTAAGATGACCTTTTCCTAAGGGTGCTCAACCTTTGAAGTACAAAGAGTGGCCACTTGTGAATTTCTCATTTAAATTGCTTGGTATAATGAATTACCTGTATTTGTTGTGTTTTTCATCAATTGTAGAAAAATTCCTAGCATTATCTTTTCAAGCATATTTGTTTCATGCTCTCTATCTTCTGTATGTGACTCCATTCTCATGATGGATGATTTCTGCCATCCATGTCTCTTAACCTGTTATATTTTCCTCTTTCCTGTCTCTCTGGGCTGCATTTTAGGTTATTTCTTCAGTTAGGTTTTCCAGTTCATTCAGTTCTTTCTTAGCTGTGTCTAATCTGTTTAACTCATCTTTAAAGTATCCTTGTTTTTTTTCTGGACCTCAGGTGTTTTCAGTTCATGGCAACTATCTTGTAAAACCCTCTCATTTGTTCATTGTTTTTTATTCCTCACTTCCTACTCTATTCCTCATCCCAGGCAACTGTTCAGATATGCTTCGTAATGTATATCTTTTTGTTTGTTTGTATATATTGCAAAATTTGTATTGTTTTATTGTGTTTTACAAAAGTAACAGTATGGAACAGATTGGAAAATTTTTTTTTTTAAAGATCTTTCACTAAAGACAGTGTGAGGAACATTGCTGTAGAGTGTTCCACTTTCTGGGTTTAGCTGGTTGCTTTGTTTTGATATCACCTAACTTGTCCCTCTATGCCTGAATTTCCTGTAAATATGCAGTTCTAAAAGCTTGATTAGATTCAGGTTCAGTTTTTCTGGGCAGGAATACATTATATGTGATGTTGTATCTTCTACACCGGGCACATAATGTTTGGTTCTTCCACATATATTAATGGTGAAATTGATCAGTGGAAGTCAGATGTGTTTGCCTGTTCCCACCATTATAAAGTTACCCTCCAACCTTTCATCTAACACTTTTAGAATATATTGATAACCATTGCCTAGTCTGTTAATTGCATTAAGAATTTCCAAGAGATAATTAATAAAATTTTAATAATAAAAAAATTTTAATAATCCATCTGTGTATTAATTGGAATTCTTATCTAAAAAAACTTTCCCTCAGCAGCTACTTTATTATTCTAAAGTACATTTTGTAAATAAAGGGGAGGATAAATTATTGGCTCTTTTCCCTCAACGTATCAACTTTCAGAGTTTGTGCCCTGGCAACCCTCTAATGAGTGGTGTTGTTTTTGTTTTTAGTATCATTATGATCTCTTGGTTTTTTATCTATTTGATTTGTGTTCAGTCCTTTGCAGCCTTCATTCATTTGATGTTTGGTTGTCCCATTTAAGACAGTAGGAGCCCCCCCTTCAACTAGGCTCCTCTGTCCTTTTGATTTTATCCCTTTAGTTACCGATAGATTCCTTTAAGGAGTCTCAGGCTCATTTGTGGAGTTCTTGAGACAGATCAGAGGTTTATCTACTTTATTCATAAAACTAACTTTTTTGTACCTCTCTTGTATGTTCATTTTCTATTTCTTTAACTCCTGCTCTTAGCTTATTAGTCTTTAATCTTCTGTTCTGAATATAAGCATCTAAAGCTCTAAGCATTTGAAGTACCACTTCTGCTGAATCCCACAAGTGTTTGTATGAAGTATTTTTACTTGTATATAGTATATTTTATATTATTGTATTATATATTTATATTTGGTATATGGTACTTACAACTATTTTTAGCTTTCAATTATGAATTCTTCTTTGTCTTATGTAACTTAAGTAACATGAGTTACTTAGATAAATCTTTTAAAATTTACAGTAGTGTATGTATGTATGTAATTTTGTTAGAGTTGGTTTTCATGTCATTTTGTATATAAGGAGGCAATTTCCCCAACTAAATTGTAGATTCCTCAAGGCAATTTATTTGTGTCTTTTTCCTGACTATGTTTCTTGGTATTCAGTAGATGGCATAATATTTATATGTTAGAGAATTAAATGAACTATCATAACTTTTTATTTTCTAGGCATATAAGGATTAAACTCTGAATAAGTCTACAAGTAGGATGGACAGTTATTTTAAAGCAGCAGTCAGTGACTTGGACAAACTCCTTGATGATTTTGAACAGAATCCAGGTTTGTTGGTTTTTAATTTTTGCTACTACTGGAATTTTTAAGTGTCTGTGATTCAGTTATCCCAGATATAGTGTACTCTTAGCAAAATTTAGTTTCAGTTTTGGTCACATGGTTATATTGTGTAAGTTCACATTTCATTATAATATACTAGTCTGTTCTTATACTGAATAGAACCAATAGCCAGAAATAGAAGTAAGGAAACTAGAAGTTTTCTCTACAGATACAAATTTAACTAAAAGAAAGACCTTTAAAATGAACATGAGCCAGCTAAAAGCAACTTGAAAACTTTACATAAATTGGTATTTCATTAATACGAGAGACATTTTACTCAGCTGATAATGAAGACGAGGAAACTAGAGAGAGAGACCCAAGAAGTTATATTGTTTTTCAGCTCCTCCTCAGTCTGGTTTTTATAATGCAACTGAGTTATTTTAGGTGGAATTTCTATCACATTGTAACATCTACACTGAAAAGTAAAAACCCTAAGTAGTTTAAATCTAAATAAAAATACTTTTGGAGGTTATCATTTTGTAAGAGAGTAGCCTATTTCTGATCTAAACAAAAGTTTAGTTAGTTTAGGAGTCTTAAAAAACATATTTGTGATAATTTTGCTTTGGCTTTCCTGAATAACATTATATCTCTATTTTAACTAGATGAACAGGATTATCTCCAGGATGAGCAAAAAACATTTGATTCTAACCACTGTTCAGTTTCTTCAGAGTTGGCTTCCTCACAACTGACTTCACTGCTACCAAAGGATCAACAGTGCATTAATTGTTGTGCCTCATCAGAAGCATGCTGTGAAACAAATCAGATTTCCCTGAACAAAACGCTTGAGGGACAAACTTCCATACAAAATGAAAAAAATGTAACAGGACTTGATCTCCTTTCTTCTTTGGATGGTGGCACTTCACATGAAATCCAGCCTCTCTATATGGGACGATGTAGTAAACCTGTCTGTGATCTGATAAGCGACATGGGTAACTTAGTTCATGTAACTAATAGTGAAGAAGATATTAAACAGTTATTGCCAGGTGATTTTAAGTCTAGTGCAGATTCTTTGATTGGATTGGATTTATCTTCAGTGTCAGAAACTCTTTGTGCTTCTTCAACAGACCATGGTAATAATACTGTCAGAGAGGAACAGAATGATGTCAACTCTGAATTACAAAACAGAGAAATTAGTGGAGCTGGAGAATTGGTTATAAAAGTAGATACAACACCTTCAGATTCATGTAATTACAGTGTAAAAGAGAATTTAAAGGATAAAAAGATCTCTAATCAGTTAGAACCAGTTGTTGATTTTAACATGCCATCTGCTTTGACTCAACAAAGTTCCGAAATGTTTGATGCCAAAGAAAGCCTACAACACAAGGACCAGCCATGTGAGTTACTGAAAGCTGATAAACGTTTGGTAAAAGAGGAAGTAGATGTGGCAGTCATAGCTGCCACAGAATGTTTAGAAGAAGGAGACCGCACAAGTGCTTTGCCTTGCAGTTTTCCAAAAAATGAAGATTTATACTTAAATAATTCAAATGCAAAAGATGAAAATTTCAAATTACCTGACTTTTCCTTTCAGGAAGATAGGACTGCTATAGTTATAAAACAAACTGCAAAAGAAGGCTCAAGAGATGTAGATCTTAAAGATAATCAAGATGTAATGCAAGATTCCTCTCCAACTCCACATGTTTCAGGTGAAGAGATGTACTCCTCACTGACCTGTCTTCCAGTACCTGGGTCTTTGTGTGGATCATTAATTGAAAGTAAAGCGCATGGTGATTGTTTACCACAGAATGAACATATAGATAATATACAAGATGCAGTGCCAGCGCATGAAGAAATACAGAAGAGCGTTATTCTAGGTGGGGAACCATTGGAGGAGACTGATCTTTTGAAACAAGAAAAATGTAAAAACATAATTGAACAGGTTGGAAATAGAAAGGTAGAGTCCAACCAAATGGTAATCAGAGTTGAGTCTTTGGATCACCCTGGTAACACAAACTCTTCTATAGCTACAGAATCTCAGATGGAGCTTTCTGGTGCTAATGCCCCAGTGTTTCCTGATCATTGTGAAGGTCTCTCTTTTTCAAGCAATGATATTGATGGGCAAGACTTAGATTACTTTAATATTGATGAGGGCATGAAAAGTGGTGCACTAATTAGTGATGCTGAACTTGATGCCTTTCTGACTGAACAGTATCTTCAGACTAGTAACATAAAATCGTTTGAAGAAAGTGTAAATGACTCAAAATCTCTAATGAATCAGATAGACACGAAAGGCCTAGATGATGGGAGCATCAATAATGTGTATTTCAATGCTGAAACAGGTGCTACTGGAGAAAGTCCTGGCATTAATATGATTTGTGAAACAGTTGATAAACAGAATGCAACAGAAAATGGTGGCCTTTCTTTAGGGGAAAAAAGTACAATTCCAGTTGAACAAGGGTTATCTAACAGTAAATCTGAGATTACGAATGAATTATCAGTCTCTGATATTAACAGTCAGTCTGTTCATGTTGGAGGGGCCAGACCAAAGCAGTTGTTTAGTATTCCATCAAGACCAAGGGGTTCAAAGGAAACAAATAAACCAGATGTTCCAAATATGCCTGAAAGTGAGCCCAGCATAGCAAATACGATTGTTCCAACCACTTGTACTACCGAATCTACAACAGATCCTCAGGTTAGCTTCAACTCTAATTACATTGATATAGAAAGTAATTTTGAAGGTGGATCCACTTTTGTAACTGTGAATGAAGAATCTGTACCTGTAAATACTTGCAAAGAAGGCCTGGTTTTGGGCCAGAAACAACCTACTTGGGTTCCTGATTCAGAAGCTCCAAACTGTATGAACTGCCAAGTCAAATTTACTTTTACGAAACGGCGACACCACTGCCGAGCATGTGGGAAAGTAAGTTTAAAAATCTTTTTTTATTCTTTCAAGACATTTTAAGTGAAAGTGAAATTTAATGTGACAAAAAAGCTGATTAATAGATAATTAAAAGTTTTGGATAGTTTAAAATCATTTTTCACTTACATGGAAATATATAAAGCACTGTCATTTTATAGATTGCTTGAGGGTGAATAAATGTCACCTTGTCATGAGTATGATGTACTGGGAAATGAAGAATGCTAATTACTAGTTTTTGTGAAATCTAAGAATATGTCTTTATCCCTCTAACATTAACACATGAGATGTCCCAAATTCAGTAATATACCCCTGTATCATTAAATTAATTTCAAGACCACTCTGCAGTTAGTGTTATAGTCTATATCTAGGGAAACATTGGGGAGTGGGAAGCAAATTGGCTGCCACAAGGTTCAGAATGCTGATGCTGACCTTGTTTGCATTCTGACTGCCTTGTCTATAAACTCTAAGGGTTGCCTAGAGAAATAACATTGCATTTTTTATTCAGCAATTTTTAGTATTATGTTGGTCTCAGATCAACCCTCTTCTCTTTTAGAAAAATAATAACATTCTGCTTTTAAAAGTTTTAAATAAAGGACCACAGAAAACTTTTTAATTATAAACCTATTCATTAAAGAAAATTTTTGTTCTTTTCCAATTAGCAGAATTGATTTAGAGGAATTCTCCTTGTCAGAGACATGATTTTAAATTGCAGAAACCTCACTGAAGTAAAACAAATAGAATCGTTTTAATAACTGCCTGTGATTATAATGATTAGAAAAATTATTTATATAATCAGAAAAATGGTGTTTGGTTAATTAGATTTTTGGCTCCTCTACCCCTGCCTTCCATAGGTATAAATGTGCTTGACACAAAACCAAATTTGATATTTTATTCTTTATAGGTATTTTGTGGTGTCTGTTGTAATAGGAAGTGTAAACTACAATATCTAGAAAAGGAAGCAAGAGTATGTGTAGTCTGCTTTGAGACTATTAGTAAAGGTGAGTATTAACCTGACATATTTTCTTCCAGTAATTGAATATATCTTAAAAACAATTGGATTGTGACAAAGATAAACTTCTTTATTTTCTTAAGGCAAGGACCTAGTGTTGACTTATCTGGCTTAGGTGGGACATCCCACGGCTTGGTTTCTCTTCTTTTTGTTCTACTCTCACAATTAATACTACCAATCTGGAAAGGAAGCATTCAGTTTCTGGAGTGGCAGTTCATTAACTTTTAACAGGTACCAAGTCCCTAAATGCTGCATTTCATCTGCCTATTTGTTTTGTCATCATCATTGTCATCTTTATCATCCTAATCTAAACATTTATAGAATACTTAACAATAAGTAGAATTCAGTGTTATAAATTAATAGCATAAGGCAAGATAATAGTTCCCACCTTTTTGGAAAATACACCCTAAGATGGGAATACAAAATAAGGTAATAATATTTATGATTTTATAGATAAGTTCATAGGACTGTCACAGTATTGGCACATTTTTGTCTCATATATTTTTTTCCCTTCTCAATTTTAGAATTTTGTTTGTATGTATTTCCCATTATTTCTGGCTCCCTAGCTTAGCTACTACCATTATCAGCAATTATCTTGGTGGTCTTATTTGTGTTCTCACAGAGTGTGTGTGTGTATGTGCATTGTATTGTGTGGTTTTTTTTTTCCCCTCAAATACACATTTGCTCTTTTTGAGTACTTCTTGGCATTTTCCCAAAGATTTGTTGACAGTTTAATTCCCAGCAAATAGTACTTGGGACTTTTCAATACTCGACCTGTATACTAGCTCAGGTATTGCTTCCTGTTAGCCAGGAGAATAAATACCTGATAATTTGTTTTTCTCTTTTGAATGAAGATAACTTTTTTCAGCAATTCTCCAAAAAGCTCTGATGTGAGTCTGTTAGCCTGAGGTAAGCTGCTTTTCTCTCTGCTGTTGACCTCTGCTCTGGAAGATAATAGAGTGTAAACTTTTTATATTTCTATCTTACCACCATTGTTTATGAAGAGGTTAGTTTAAGACTCTGTAGTTGTTTTGTTTTTTCCTGTGCTATTTCAGTAGCCTAGAAGCCTGCTGGAGCTGTTAGCAACACAACCTGCTGGAATTCAGAAATATGAGAGCAAGTTCCCATAATAATCCTCTCTCCCCACTTGAAAAATAAATAGCCGTAAAGATCTGAAACATTTGAGTTGACAGGTCAGATTTTTGGGTGAACATTAAAACATTTTGATGGTAAGGTTCCAGGAGAGGAGAAGATACAGTCATTAAAGAGACTCAATAGGATGTTGAGATCATGCTTTGGTTTATCAAAGAAAATACCTTGAAATGAATATGGTGATCTAGTTATCTGTTTTATTTATAGTGTTATGATATAGCAGGTATTTGCACTTATGGTTCTGTTTTTTTTATAAAACTTTTTTTTTTTTTATTCATGAGAGACAGAGAGAGAGAGAGAGAGGCAGAGGGAGAAGCAGGCTCCCAAGGAGCAGGGAGCCCAATGCGGGACTCGATCCCAGGACCCTGGGATCATGACCTGAGCCGAAGGCAGACGCTTAACCATCTGAGCCACCCAGGCGCCCTGCACTTATGGTTCTATTTAACACTAATTTATATACCACAAAAAAACAAATACAAGTTATTTTAATATCAGCCTTAGGGTTGAAGATGGTAGAAGTGATCATTTAAAATAATGTTATTAGGGGTGCCTGGGTGGCTCAGTCGTTAAGCGTCTGCCTTCCGCTCGGGTCATGATCCCAGAGTTCTGGGATCGAGCCCCGCATTGGGCTCCCTGCTCAGCAGGAAGCCTGCTTCTCCCTCTCCCACTCCCCTTGCTTGTGTTCCCTCTCTTGCTGTGTCTCTCTGTCAAATAAATAAGTAAAATCTTAAAAAAAATAAAATAATGTTATTAAATAAGATGAGAAAGATGGCACAAGGGTTGTAAGACAAATTCCCTGAAGGATTAAAAAAAAAGATAGTTTAATTAGAGATTATAGATAATGAGGAAGTTGTGCTGAGACTGTGTAAGTTTCAGGGAAGCCTGCACGTGAGTGCCATTAGGTAGATTTGGGGCAAGTTGGACATTACTCAAAACCCGGAGTAAGATATATGGATTTTATTTGGTGAGTTGAAGCCATTTCATGAGAGTGCTATCATTCAATGGCACTTGAGGAGGATTACTTTAGCAGTGGTGACATTTAGAGCAGATTGGTTTGGAGAAATGAGGGAAGAGCTACCAGTGCTGTTCCCTGTCATTTGGATGAAGCATCATTCAGCAATATTCAAGCAGTCTTTTGCATTTTGGAGCTCCAGTTGTGAACAGAATACACTCCTGTTCTCATGGAGTTTATTATTTCATGGAACTTAGGAATGTGGGGAGAGGTGGACAGTAAGCGAAGAGAACATCAGATGGTGATAATATCCTAAATTAAAGTAAGAGAGTGTAAGAGGGATAGATAGTAACAGATTGGTGGCAAGAGGTAGTATTTTTTTTTTTTAAGATTTTATTTATTTATTTGACAGAGAGAGAGAGATAGTGAGAGCAGGAACACAAGCAGGGGGAGTGGGAGAGGGAGGAGCAGGCCTCCCGCCAAGCAGGGAGCCTGATATGAGGCTCCATCTCAGGACCCTGGGATCATGACCTGAGCTGAAGGCAGACGCTTAATCGACTGAGCCACCCAGGCGCCCCAAGAGGTAGTATTTTTTAATGGTAGGTAAAGTTAGGCTTTATGATAATCTGACATGTGGGCAGAGACTTGAAGTGAGAGAATAAAGTTATGTGAGTATTTATAGGAAGAACAGTCCAAGTGGAGAGAACAGTAAGAGCAAAGACTACACTAGGAAAGTGCTTGCTTGACTTGTTGAAGAACCAGGAAGCCTGGATGGCTGGATCATAATGAACAAGTGGGATAGTAGTGAGAGATGAGGCCAGAGAGAGAGCTAAGTAGGAAGGCAGAGGAGGTAGGGCTATAGACTATGTAGGGTTTTGTGAACCACTGTCAAAACTGAAATCTTCACTCCACTTGGGAAGCAATTAAAAGATTTTAAACAGAGGAATGATGTGATAGGATTTATGTCTTAAAGGAATCACTCTGAACTGTGTTGAAAATATACTGTAGGGGTACAAGGATAAAAACAGAGACAGTCATATTAAATAAAGTCATATTTTCTTTAGTAGATAAACATATGACAAATATAATATTGAAATAACTAATTGGTAGCTTATATTGAAGTAGAGTGCTGCCAACTGGAGTAAGGACATTATCTTTGCCAAGTGCCACATCTCTTTCTTGCTTACCCATTGATTTCTTTCTCCTCACAACTTGAAAAATAGATAATTTATAATAATTTACTTTGAAGTTCAAAAGTATTTTAATATTTGTTCCCCTTTCTAGCTCAGGCGTTTGAAAGGATGATGAGTCCAACTGGTTCTAATCTTAAATCTAATCATTCTGATGAAAGTGCCACAATGCAGCCTCTTCAGGAGACTCAAACATCCGGTATACCTTCACCTACAACTTTACCGATCTCAGCACTTAAACAACCAAATGTTGAAGGTAACTAGAAAAAAAAATGCTGTGTCTTAGACTAAAGATAATTTTTTAATGGAATTTCTAGTTTGATAAGGTTTAGTGAGGAGAGAGAGACTAGATATCAGAGGAATTTGGTACAGGGAACTGGTACATGTGTGTTAGAAGGTTGGAAGAGCAAAAGGGGCATGCTCAAGTGACTCAGAGATTACTAACTACAGGACTACAGCAACCACTGTTCCTAGGGTTGGAGTAATGAAAGGTGAAAAGGCAATATTCTAGAACTCAGTTCAGGAGTACTAAGAAGTGTTTGGTTCTCAGACCTGGGATTCAGGGTGTGACTGGTGTTGTGATTTCTGGGAGAATACCAAATAGCAAATGCTGGAACCATCAGGGGGCTTCATAGGATTGGTGTTCAGTGAATGAAGGAGTATTCCAGGCTTGATGGTCGGAGTACTGCAAATCACAGGGCATGCACCTATATCCAGTGGTACTGCTGCTGCAAGGATCCTGGCAGGAACGAGAAACAGAATTCTTTCTCTTCCCACCTTCCAGTCTCCCACCAATGCTATTGGCAGAACGTGACCAGAGCCAACCAGCAAGGGGGTCTGGGAGTTGCACTTCCCAGACTGCAGCCTGGCATCAAAGAGCACCTTATGGAAGGGTGGGCTTGGGTTTGAGAGACAATAGGTAAATAACTGGCATATCTCCCTTTCTTTAAAAATCTGTTTTTAAATGTATATTTTACCACAATAAATATGTTTTTTAAAATCTATTTAAAAATTTTTGGATTCTCTGTTCTTTTTTATAATCTGTTGTAGTTTAGGACCTTGAGTAAAGCCTGTGTACATTTTTTTTTTTTTAAGATTTATTTATTTTAGAGAGTGAGAGAGTGAGAGAGTGAGCAAGCAGGGGCTGGGGCAGAGGGAGAGAGAGAATCCTGAAGCAGATGCCCTGCTGAGTGCATAGCCCAAAGTGGGCTCAATCTCAGGAACCCGAGATTATGACCTGAGCCAAAACCAAGAGTTGGCTGCTTAAGTGACTGAGCCACCCAGGTGCCCCAAGCCTGTGTACATTTTTAAATACAAAATATTAGTCTCTAACTTGCTAGAAAATCACTGTAAATGTCAGCTAAAAACAAATTCAGATACTTCTGATAATTACTTTGGATTTCAGTTTATCTCTTAATACAGCTATTTTCTATTTGTCATTATAACCTAGATAAGGAGATCAGCATATATAGTTGTATGTTACAGCTCTAAAATGAATAAATATGCTTTAAAAATATTTACATGTTCTCTTATACCTAAGTTACTAAATTATAAAAGTGTTGTAAATATATGGATACCTTATTTAGTATGTCTACCCATACTGCAAAAATTGTATGTAATTCCAATTTTATATTATGTTCTGGAAGGTAGATGTTGATCCTTTGATTTTTATATTGTCATAAAGCCATCTGACAGCTATTTTCATAACCTTCCTCTGTGGATGCTTTGTAACAAAAGAAAATACATATTTATGCTGATATCTAGTTATTTCCTCCAAATTTGGGAGGAAAATATTAATAAAGTTCAATATCCACATTATAAGAACAAAAATATTATGCTTCTCTTATTAAGTACATTAAAAATAAGAAATGACCTATTTTAAATAAAGAATTTTAAGAAAATGACCTCTGATGCACAGTGATCCTGTTTCCTTTTTTAGACTTTTTATACTTTTCTGTTCTTCCCATGTTTTTCTTTGCTTATCTGTCATGCTCCGGTCTACATTTTTCCACCTTGTGCGTCAGTCTTTAAATTGTATTCATTCTTTACTCACTACTAAGTAATACAGGCTTTAAATTTGCCCCCACTGTCTTAAAGATGTAACCTCTCCTGTCCACTCTTTTTCTGAGTATATGATTCCTAGGGTTACTCCTGCCTTTGTATAAATTAGGAAAAGACTTCCATTCCAGCTAGATGAATCACAAAAGGCCACTTCTCTAGGCCTTTGCAGCCCTGAGAAGGCAGGTCTTGCCAGTGGATAGCAAAAAGGTTTTGAAAACATTTCCCAATTGATTTAGTATTAAATCATTGCAATATACCAAATTCAAGTGCTTTACTTTTTAAACTGATTCTAGGATTATGCTCCAAAGAACAGAAGAGAGTATGGTTTGCAGATGGTATACTGCCCAATGGTGAAGCTGCAGATACAGCAAAATTATCATCTGGAAGTAAAAGATGTTCTGAAGACATGAGTCCTCTCTTACCTGATATGCCCTTGGTAAGGAATCTAAAGAATGACTTGTTAATTTAATAACATTTTATTTTAAATATATTTCGTAGTGTGATTATTAGAGTACTTTTTTTTTAAATGCTGTGAGCTTCCTAAAATGACAAACATGATGTAGTGAATATATTTTAGATTTTATCTTTTTTAATGTCAGTTTAAGGTAATGATTCTTAAACTTACTGGTCTCAGGACCCCTTTATGCTCTTAGAAGTTACTGAGAACTTCAAAGAACTATAGATTATGTGGGTTATACCTAGTGATAATTACTGTATTAAAATTAAAATTGTGTGGGGCGCCTAGGTGGCTTAGTCGGTTGAGTGTCCAAGTCTTGATCTCAGCTCAGGTCTTGATCTCAGGGTCGTGAGTTCAAGGCCCACACTGGGCTCCATGCTGGGCATGAGCCTGCTTTAAAAATAAATAAATAAATTTGGGATGCCTGGGTGGCTCAGTCGGTTAAGTGTCTGCCTTCAGCTCGGGTCATGATCCCAGGGTCCTGGGATCGAGTCCTGTATCGGGTTTCTTGCTCAGCAGGGAGCCTGCTTCTCCCCCTGCCTGCTACTCTCCCTGCTCATGTGTTCTCTCTCTCTCTCAATTTGAGAAATAAATAAAATCTTAAAAAAAATAAAATAAATTTATTTAATTAAAATTGTGGAAAAAATTTAAAATTAATTTAAAAATTTGTTGTAGTAATAGAAATAATACTTTTATGAGATATTTTAAAACAAAGTTTAGTGAGAGGAATAACACTGTTTTACATTTTTGCAAAATTCTTTGATGTCTGGCTTAATAAAAGACAAATTCTCACATCTGCTTCTATACTCAGTCTGTTATGATATGTTGTTTTTGGTTAAATTATATGAAGAAAATCCTAGGACCTCACTGACTCCCTGCAAGTGTCTTGAGGACCTAAGAGAACCCTGACCCACATTTTAAGAACCCCTGGTATAGGGAAATAGAACTGAGATTTAGTAATTTAATTTAGACTAATATTTGTTTAATGATTTTCAAACATCCAGCAAAGTATATGACAATGTTATTTATGTTTGCAGTTACACAAATGTGCTAGGTGTTAAATAAAAGATACATAATACAGAATTCCAGCCAACTAAGAACTTTCATTGTAAAGTAGCAAAATATTCATAGAAGCTAGTATTCATACATTGAATAGGAATGCTTTTATTCAGTAAACAGATATTTATTGAGCATCTACTCTGTGCCAGTTACCTGGTTTATCCTGTGTGTATATATTAGACAAGATCAGAATGTATCCTGCTCTGTTTCACATACCATATAAATGTATGCTGTTTGTCAGGGTTCATGAGCTAGAATTTACAAATAGCCCTAATTACCACAAGTACCTACCCTCAATTGATATTTTAACAAAATGAAAGTTCTAAACAGCCTCGTAAGTTTTACTTGAGTTCATAAATGCTTCTCAATTTAATACTAACTCAGGTTTGGCCAGTTTAAAAAGAAAGGGGCTTTATTGAAGCTGGTTTGAAGTGTTTATTAGTGGTTACTATTGAGGAATACACCTGCCACTCAGCTTCCTAACCATTCTCCTTCCTGCCTTCCCTCTGATCTGTCCCTTGCTACCTTTCCCCACTCAAGGCTTTTGGGCTGTTGTCAGGAGAGTTTGGTTAAACTAAGTTTGCTTACTGTGTGATATGGTACAGGATACTGAAGTTCTCCTTGCCTCCTTTTTCTAGTCTATAAAATTAAAGTCATTAATACCTACCCAAGTATATGATACGGTAAAGCTAAACCTTACTCTTCTGAATTTAAAGGAGTAAAATGGTACTGTTTCTTGGCATATTTGGCTTTTGAAGAGTTTCTGAGCCCATTTTGGTTTTATTTATTCTTATTAAAAAGGTATCTTTGGCTATAGAGATCAACATTTCACAGCTGAATAGAGAATATGAACTGATGGTTTTGGTTTTTTTTTTTTTAATTCCATATTTTACAGACAGTAAACACAGTGGATCATGCCCATTCTACAGTGGAAAAAGCAAACAGTGAGATAGGAGATATTACAAGAAATGAGATAATTCGGAGTCCTATTTCTCAGGTTCCATCTGTGGAAAAACTACCTATAAACACAGGAACTGAGGGGTTACCTACTTCTTGTTCTTTTACACTAAATGATGATGTTTTTGCAGAAGTTGAGGGACTATCTAGTCCTACTGATGTCTTAGTTCACAGCAATTTACCTGTTGCTAGTACTTCAGATTATAGGTTACTGTGTGGTATTGACAAGAATGTTTGCAATAAGATTAGTCTTCTACCTAATGATGAGGACAGTTTGCCCCCTCTTCTGGTTGCATCTGGAGAAAAGGGATCAGGTAGGATAATAGTTATTTAAATTTTAAAAAGAAGGTTTTCTTTGTTTTTTGAAAGAATGTACTGGTGAATTTTGTGATGTATGAAATGCATTTTTTTTAAGCTGAGACAATTTGGTTGAAATATGAACTATAGCTTGGTATCTTTAGTTTACAAAAAGTCTTGTTATGTGAAACCAAATTCTAAAAAGATCTGAACTTTTGAGTTGAATGAATATGACTCATTTATCTCATCTTGAGTCCCTAATTTAGAAGGAAGAAAACGTTTAATTTGACAGGGAAACTCATACACTTTTAATCCTGAAAATACTCCCATTGTGTTAAGAGTTTTAACTCTATCATTTTTTTCTCAGCCTCCCCGCTCCATACCATTTTAAAGGTGCAAAGTGCCTAAAGAAGAGAGTATTGGATTGGACAGCAAACCTAGGAATTTTAGTTTCTCATCTGCTACTTAATACACTTATGACTTGAAGCATGTTATTTAATCTCTCTGGGCTTCAGTTTCCTATGTAAAAGATGAGAACCTATTTGATCTCTAAGGTCCTTTCCAAGCTGGAGATTCTGTGGCTAGCTCCCACCTCAGAGTAGTTCCCTAAGGATAGATACATCCTTGTCACCCCAGGCATTATGCTGCATCCTGCAACCTGAAATGATTGTGTTCTGTGCATGATAATATAGGGGAATGAAGTTTAGGACCTCTGTTCTGTCACTGGGAGCTATTTCATGAACCTAGCTATAGTGGCAGAAATACCTTAAGCTCTATACTTCACATGCCATACATATTTTCCTGTTGATTGTCAAGATCCTTTTTTACACTTGGTTGGTGGTGACATAGGGCATATGGCAGCAAGCAGTATGTACAACCTGAGTCTAGACTACTTTAAGAGTTGTAAATTTCAGAATTTATAATTGGAGTGGCTGGCAGTCTGGAATCCACTCTGCAAAAATGTTTGTTTTAAAATTGTACAGGGGCTAAAATTGTATAAATATGCTATTTAATCAATGTATTTGTATATGTACTATATATATAATTTAATATATCAGGATTTATATGTATTACAGTGTTAATATCTTTAAGTAAAAAAGTAAAAACTAGTATATAATAGTTGTCTAGGGTATTAACTGATTTTTATGAAATAGATTTGCTTTTGTTATTAAATTTGATAAAGCCATTGGTGGATTTATAAATTTTTTTTTTATTGCAAGCATATTTAACAGGAAGTCATATTCTAACTAATATGTTACTTTCATGATTTAGTGCCTGTAGTAGAGGAACACCCATCTCATGAGCAGATCATTTTGCTTCTTGAAGGCAAAAGTTTTCGTCCCGTTACATTTGTCCTAAATGCTAATCTACTGGTGAATGTCAAGTTAGTATTTTGTAAGTAATGATTGATCTTTCTTTGCCTAATTGGTGTGTAGGATTTCTGAAATTAATTAAATTTTGACTGGCAATCATGAAAAGTAAGCAGCATTGGATGTTGATTTGTCAGCCACATATATAGATTTTGCAAACTTACATTGAGTGGTACTTGAAACCTTAAAGATTTTTACTAGTGTCCTGCATTCAGTCCTAGGTTAAGGATGTGGGCTCCTAGGTGTACCTGATGCTCATAATACAATTGACTGTATTTCATATAGCTTTTAGATAAATTGAAACTTGTTAATTAAGCAAGATTCTTGATTTAGTAGCAATAAAGACAGTTTTAAAGTAAGTGACATGTGACCTAATTAAAAGTAAGGAAGTAAATAATCCTCAGTACTCATCATTGACTCTCTCAGCTTTCATTCTCTGACACAAACTTGATTCTTACTCACTACATTTCAGCATAATAGTGCATCTTTTAATTTTATTTTATTTTTAGTTATTTATTAATTGACTCCATAAGATAGTCTTTCATCCTTTCTCTTTTTTACATTAATCTTATACAATTCAGTTTAAAGTTTTTTTGTGAGGAGAACTTTGGGGAAACAAGGAATTTGAAAAGTTGTGCTTCATACCAAGACGACTATATTAGTTTCTTTGGTTAACAGAAGTTGACATTTATAGTTGTATGCTTTTATCACTTAAGATTCCTCAGACAAATACTGGTACTTCTCAACCAATGGACTTCATGGCTTGGGACAGGCAGAAATTATTATTCTGTTATTATGTTTGCCAAATGAAGATACTATTCCAAAGGACATCTTCAAACTATTTATCACCATCTATAAGGATGCTCTAAAAGGTATAGCATTTTATTTTGAATTGTTCCAACTGGGGGGAATGGATAAATTAATTAAAGGCATTTATGCTTTTGGCTATGCTAACTGTACTAAAGATTTATTTTGTGAGGAGATTGATGATTTCTTAAAAGATCTTAGTCATCATTTTCAGTCTCCTTAAATCTAGCATTTTATGTCATTAGTGTCTTTATACAGTTTTTTTTAATTTTAAAAATGGAAATATATTTGTCTTCTTGATTTTTTTTTTTTTACATGTGTCTATATACTTATCTGTGTAAGACTGGGGGAGACATGATGAATTTTCACATGGTCATGCAGTAAAGAGAAAAATGTAAAACCGCCTATGGTTAGAAACATTTTCAAATTTTTGTTCACAATTCCCAACTTCCAGGATTAACTGAGCTTTGTGCACACAGATTATTCAATAGGTGCTTCTTCAGGTGTGGAAATAAGAAAAAAAAATCCACATTGCTGTTATTTAAGAAAGTTTATACTGCAACATCCAAACTCAGAATGCCTTTTAAAACAACTTAAAGTCTTTTACTTTATTTCCAGGAAAATACATAGAAAACTTGGACAATATTACTTTTACTGAGAGTTTTCTCAGTAGTAAGGATCATGGAGGATTTCTGTTTATTACACCTACTTTTCAGAAACTTGATGATCTCCTATTACCAAGTAATCCTTTTCTTTGTGGAATTCTTATTCAGAAGCTAGAGATTCCCTGGGCAAAGGTTTTTCCTATGCGCTTAATGTTGAGATTGGGTGCAGAATATAAAGGTAAGTTTTAGAAGAAGTTAAATCACATAGGTTCAAATATAATAAATGTAAAATAAGAATTTCAGGGATATCATTAAAATCAATTTTTTAATGGATTTTGAGGGGACTACTTTTGTTTTGATATACTTTTAAAATTCCAAGACAACCCTCCTCTACTACTAAATGAGTTGTCTAGACAACCTTGGTATGTCATGAAGTTTCTAGATGTTCATAATTATATTAACTTACCTTAAAAAAAATTTTTTTTAACTCTCAGAACAAAATACAGAAAACATTGAAGAGTTTTCTTAAAAGCATGTACTGTAGGGAGTTCATTTTGTTATGTTTCCTATATTTTAAGAAGGTAAATTATTTCCCCTCTGAATTTGTGTATATCACAAAGCCAAACATGAAGGATTGTGAAATAATGGCCCCAGTTTATGTATATGGTTATTTCTAAGTTGAAATCATTTTTAGCATTAAAATTTTTGAATTCCCACCCTTTATCCTTGACTTTTTTCAAGAAATTATTTATTTATACCATGTAAAGTATATCTAATGAAGTTTCAGGCATTTGATTCTAATATAATTAAATAGGTATTTTCTTGGAGGAAAATTAAATGGAGGGGATTTATAAAACTTATAAAATATTTCAAAATGGACAAATTCAGTGAAAGAGATATAAATCTCTCTCTTTGGCAAATTTATTAAGCTCTTTGATTTTGCGGGAGAGGTCTTTACCATTAATGATTTTTTTTTTTTTAAGATTTGTTTATTTTAGAGAGAGAGGAGGGAGAAGTGTATGGGAGCTAGGGGAGGGGCAGAGGGAGAGAGAGAATCTTAAGCAGACTCCCTGCTAAGTGTGGAGCCCAGGGTGGGCCTTGATTTCACAACCCTGAGATCATGATCTGAGCTGAAACCAAGAGTCAGGACGCTTAACCAACGGAGCCACCCAGGCAGCCCACCATTACACAACACCATCACAGCCCAACGGTGATGCTGTTGTGTAAAAAGTATCAAAATTTAAATTTCATCGCAGGTTTTTTTACTGTGTAAACTACAGAGCTTATGAAAGTTTATTTTGCATCAAGTGTTTCATCCATTCAGCCTGATACTTTGTCTCTGCTATAAATATTTGAATGCTATTTTATGGAAAGTTAGGTCAATATGTAATCTTAAGTCATTATGGAACATACAGTTTATACGTTTGGCCAGTATTTTGGTCAGTATCACTTCTAGATACTACAACTGTTTTTCTCACACACAAAGAAGGAAAATCATGGAGCTACTTGTGGAACTTCTTAAAAGATCACAGGAGTTGGAGCTGCGAAGTTATGATAGGTGTTTAGTAATGATGAAGATAAAAATCACCAGTTATACAGGTTTTTCCCACTATCTGAAAGTAGAACATTCCTATGAAACCTTTTGTAAGCCAAAATGGCATAAAGCAAAGAAACCATTACCATTTCTTTTTTGTTGTTGTAAGGATTTATTTATTTATTTGAGGAGGCAAGGGGCAGAGGGAGAGAAGAACACAAGCAGACTAGCACTGAGCGTGGAGTCAGATGTGGGACTCCACCTCACGACCCATGAGATCATGACCTGAGCCAAAACCAAGAGCCGAATGCTCAACCGACTGCACCACCCAGGCGCCCCAACAAGTACCATTTCATAAACACAAAAATCTGTTTCATATTCCTTTCAGTCAGTTAAAACAGGTACTAACATAGGTTTTTGTAAAAGCAAAGTGGTGTAAAGCAAACTTTTGGATGGGAGGAAACCTGTACATAGAAATTAATTAGTCTTAGCTGTTTTTTGAGTTCACTGTATACTGCTGGATTTTAGATATACTGACATTTTGATGTTATTGGTGCCCATGCCTCTAGATTTGAACTTGGAAATGTGATGTGTGTGTGTATATGTGTTTGTTAGAGATAATGGATGTACGGAAGATTTAATGGCAAAAGTTAGAGTCCCACGATTAAAGACTGAAAATAATGGTCTGAAATTAGTAACTTTCAAATGGAGATTATCTACACTTACATTGAGACTATTTGGAATACTATTCACTGTTGCCTTAGAGGACTTATGAGGTCCTTTATAACTCTGACAGAATGTCTTTCTAAGTCATAACCTTTTGAAAGTACTGTTTCAAATAAAATTACCTCAATCAAGTTGTAAAGGATGTTCCCTCATTCATAACAGATGGAGTAAAAAGGCATCATTTATCTTAATCATATCATTTTAATGTCTTTTACCACTAATGTCCTATGTTTTTTTCCAGTTTGCACCCTCTGTCCTCTAAATAACATGGTTTTCCTTTTAAAAACTAAAAAATAGGGGCGCCTGGGTGGCTCTGTCTGTTAAGCATCTGACTTTGGCTCTGGTTGTGATCTCGGGGTCCAGGAATCAAGCCCCATGTCAGGCTCCTTGCTCAGTGGGGAGTCTGCCTCTCCCTCTGCTCCTCCCTGCTGCTTGCGCTCTCTCTCTCAAATAAGTAAATAATCTTTAGGGGCGCCTGGGTGGCTCAGTCGTTAAGCGTCTGCCTTCGGCTCAGGTCACGATCCCGGAGTCCTGGGATCGAGCCCCACATCGGGCTCCCTGCTCCGCGGGAAGCCTGCTTCTCCCTCTCCCACTCTCCCTGCTTGTGTTCCCTCTCTCGATGTCTCTCTCTGTGAAATAAATAAATAAAATCTTTAAAATAAATAAATAAATAAATAAGTAAATAATCTTTAAAAAACAAAACACTAAAAAATATGTCAGTAATAACAAAGATGTGAGTTACTCTGACTTAAATTTAAAAATAGATGTCAGGTAATGTGTTCTCTTAGAATTTTAAGGACATATATTGGTATAAAGGTATGAGAGAGGTTTGTTTGCTTAATGACCTAGGCTGAGAACTGAAGGTTAAAAAGTTTTCTGCTCTTTATCATTATAGAAATGTCTTACCTTCCTTTTTTCACCTTCCTTTTCTTCCAGAAGCCCTGCTGCATTGCCAACCAAATACCTTTTCCTTTTTGGTGAATAATATTTATTGTGCCCTAAAGAAAGAAAAAAGTAGTTAGGTGATAGACTCCATGTTCCTTCTATTTCTCTGCACTGACTTCTCTGACTCTGTGTGCCCCTTTTATTAGGCTGACCCAAGAACTGTAAAAGTTTACTACAGTCTATAAATTCTCACAATTGAACATTAATTATACATGCCTTAAAAATCTTGAGTTCTTCATATTTCTCTTTAAAAAGTCTTAAATTATCAGAACTTTATAGGGTTCTATACAGTTACTATAATTTTCCTGTCATTATCCTTTTGTGGAAACAACATGTATAATGAAAATATGAAATGCTCTGGAATCAAGCAAGCCTAAATTTCAAATCTGTCTCACTGGTTATTAACTTAGTTACCTACCATAAGCAAGTTTGTTAATTTCCATGTCTCTACTTTCCCATTAGTAAAGTAGGAGTAGACATATTTGCCTCACTGGGTTGTTTTAGGGCTTAAATAAGATATAGTGTATATAAAGTTCTCAGTTCAGTGTAGCATCCAGTAGATACACACTATGGGTTAATGTTTCTCTCACTTTCCCCAAAGAACTGATTGGGTGCTATTTATCCATGATGTTTGAGAAATGAGAGTTAAAAGTAATAAATTCAATGGGGCGCCTGGGTGGCTCAGTCATTAAGCTTCAGCTCAGGTCATGATCCCAGAGTCCTGGGATCGAGCCCCACATCTGGCTCCCTGCTCAGCGAGAAGCCTGCTTCTCCCTGTACCACTCCCCCTGCTTGTGTTCCCTCTCTCGCTGTCTCTCTGTCAAATAAATAAATAAAATCTTTAAAAAAAGTAACAAAGACTTTTTTGGGTTTTTATTGAAAGTAACCAGTTTTCCTTTCTTATGTATAGCATATCCTGCTCCTCTAACAAGTATTAGAGGCCGAAAACCTCTTTTTGGAGAAATAGGACACACTATTATGAACTTACTTGTTGTGAGTAATCAAACTATTAAGTGTTTTTACATTGTTATTTTAAAATTTTATTTAGCATATTTTACATATTTATATATTTTCCTATTTTAATTTGGCATATTTGGTATAATGAAAGTTCATTTATTGTATATCTTAATTTATTTAGCATAAATGGGCTCTGTTTTTAATGAATTGCTTTTTAGAACACATCTCCTAATATATTTGTACCTGGTTGTAATTGTCTTTTGATTCGTTCTGCTGCAGTGCTTTCACATGTAGGTAATGTGAGATCTACACAGTTGTTGAAGGGTTAGCAAAAGTGTTAGTATCCTAAGTCCATCAGTTTGGTGATTTTGAGCAAATTGTGGCCCAGGTTTCCTCATTTGTAATAGGAAGAATTGGATTAGATAATCTCAGGTTCCCTTCCACCTCTTTTTTCTATAATTGTTTTATCTGTAACCATAGAAAAGTATTTCAGTGGACTTACTTTTATTTATACATGTTTACTTTGAAGACCTATTTTGGAAGATCTGAAATTAGAAAGAGGAGATCACCCCCAAATACTACAGAATTCTTCCTGAGAATGATATTCTTTATTACTGTTGTGGAATAGTTGGAAGGATTAGTTGGTTTTTTTCAGTTGGTACTGCTTTCGGGATGGCATTTTGATAGTTATGTATCACAAGTCTTAAAATGGTGGATACTCTTAAAAAAAGGATTTAATGAATGGGTAAAATGCTCATGGATAGTTTAAGGTTTATGGAAATGTCATTATTTTATATATAGGACCTTCGAAATTACCAGTATACCTTGCATAATATAGATCAGCTGTTGATTCATATGGAAATGGGGAAGAGCTGCATAAAAATACCTCGGAAAAAATACAATGATGTAAGTCTAATTTCTTCATGCAGATTTTGAAGATAATTATTGAACATTAGATTTCTATAAAAATATGTTAAATTTGTTTTGAATCAGACTGTCTAATACATAATGGCAAAAACATTTTTGAAATTATTAGATTTTGTTTTCTAATAAAGGATTTGTTTAATGTTTTTAAAAACTTTTTTCTTTACTGTTTTATCTATTAATTGAGGTGATTTTATCTTAAAACATTTGTTTCCATCACATTCTCAGGGAGTTGTCCAGACCAAAGCTTGATAATTATGAAGGTGGTCAGAATTGTGGCCCTCTGAATGACTGTAACTAATAAAGACATAACATGTTAGTAGTGTTTCTAAATGAGTGTTGTTTTTTTCCAGGTAATGAAGGTTATAAATTCTTCTAATGAGCATGTGATTAGCATTGGAGCTAGTTTTAGTACTGAAGCAGATTCTCACCTAGTCTGTATACAAAATGATGGCATTTATCAAACACAGGCCAACAGTGCCACTGGCCATCCTAGAAAAGGTAAGTGTTGGTTCCTAGTATTGATCTATAAAACTACCTCAATAAATGAAATTCCTTTCAAAGGGGAAATGTATATATTTTACTTATTTGCTGAATTGATGGTAATAATACAATATGATTTAAAATTTTAGCTACGCAGATTAAAAATTGCTTCTAATTTGTGTTTTTTTCTTGGGCTACATTAGGTTTAAGGACTTGGAACACTATTTATTTTGATATCTTCAGGTTTAATTTATCCTATATGGTGTGAATCTTATTTTCAGTAATTTCTCTCTGGAATGAGGTGTTTGTCACTCTTGTTTGCTCACTGCTCCAACTCCTCTTAGGGGGGAGTACAGTCTGGATAAGGATGAAGAATGATTTATAAAACTGTAAGTGGCTGGGGATATAGAAATGGTAAAGATGGTGGAGTAGCCTATGTGAGTAACATTACTCTCAGTTCTGGCTGAATGGCCTCAGTGACTACTGTGATTGCCAGATCCTTGCAGTAGAGGGCCTAACAAATTGAAAGTTAAGTGGAAGTGAGTATTTCATAAAATTAGTACATTTTAAAATAACATTTAAAATAGTTTGACATTCTGGCTGCTAATAAAATTAGCCTCTGATTATAAAGATAATATATACTTATTTGTTAAGTTTAGAAAATATGTTTTAAAAAGTAGTAAAAGAAAATAAAGTGCCAAGATATGGCCATTGTGGACATTTTAATATATTTTCTTCTTATATTAATATATATCTATTAAATAGATGGTTTTATATTGGATATTTACACTTTTGTATTTTTTATTTAATATGTCATTAATACTTTTGTTATTAAAATGTAACAACTATTTAATATTTGTTGAATAGGTATATGTGTTATAAAATTTTAAAGGTATAGGTATCTACAGTGAGAAATTTCCTTTCCTCCCTTGACCCCAAGGCTACCCTCTTCTCTTCCCCACAGCCAACCAAACCAGTGTTACCAGTTTCTTATATATCCTTTCAGAAACATTTTTGCTTACATATATATTTAAGCAAACACACACACACATCTTTCTTCTGCTTTTTAATTTGCATTTTAATTTTTTTAATTTGTAGCAGATTTCTTCCACTTTTTTAAACAAGTCATAACGTGTTCCATTGTGCACATTGCTTTTTCTTTTAACACACCTTAGAGATGATTCTGTTAGTATAAAAAGAACTTTTGCATTCTCCATAACTTTTCACTTTATATGTGTACATCATTTAATTGTCTCATTAATGGGTATAGTTGTTACCAATTCTTGGTTATTTATAAAAATGTACTGTGAATAACCTTGTATATGTGCAATTCCTGGTTGTGGAATTGGTGTATCAAAGGATATATGTATTTATAATTTTAATAGGTAATTATTAAGTTGTCTTCCATAGAGATTGCTCTGATTTATGCTCTTATCAGTGGTGGATATTCGATTTCCCATACTCCCACTGACACAAACATTTTAAGTAGTACAATAGCTATCAGTTATTATATACAAACATTACATAACCCTTATGCAATATTTTATCTTAATTTGGTTTAGTTTGTTGTTTTATTACCTTTCTAACATAAGTGGTATGGGCATGGCATTTATTAGGTACTTAAGTGTGCCATGCTCCACATTATACATTTAACAAATATCATATAGCATTAAAAAAAGGCAAGTTAAAACATAAATGTATTTTTCTTATCAGTGACAGGTGCAAGTTTTGTGGTATTCAATGGAGCTCTAAAAACGTCTTCAGGATTTCTTGCTAAGTCCAGCATAGTTGAAGGTATGAGTTTCATCTTTAGGATTGTTTTAATGTAAAGATGTTTTCCATTTCCTTTTAAAATGTATTTGATACTTACAAAAGAACATATGTCAGTTACAAAGCACAGTACCCCAAACTTACACAAAATCATTACCCAGCTCAAGAAGTAGAACATGGTGAATATTTGGGTCTATGCTAAGTATAACAACTCTGCCATAACCTGCACTTCCTGACTTACAGAGCCTAAAAGTTCATCTGAGGTGAGAGCTTAGGGCATTTCTTTAGCATGCATACACTGAGTATGCATACAGTATTGTACATGTCTGTGGCCTTCTAAATTCCCAGAAATATGTTAGAGCTTTTCAAAGCCATTATGGACATCTCATTCCCCAGCTTTTCCTTTTAAGTGTTTGGTTGGCCTATTGTTTGCCTCTGCTATTATCAGCTGCCACAGGTAGCTGAGATGTTAATCATTGGCTTCTGATTGTTTTTCACAGATGCTCCCTGAGAAAAAACTTTCTGCACTGGGCAAAATACTCAACATTCAAAAAATAGTAATTCTCTGATAATGAGGCTTTGAAGGAGCTCCAACCTTCTTTTGCCCTTTCCAGTGGCTACCAGGCTGTTGGTTTTCACCCTGATTCCAGGCTATTGGTTTTTAAGGCTTCCACTGAGCTAGAGAGGAGGGGATTGGAATAGAAGAGTTAAAATGACACAAAGAACAAAGCTTGCTCTTCTTATGAAGATCCAGCCATTTTTCTTAAATAAATACTTCCCAGATTGCTGCAAGCCTTTGATTAATTTCCAGAGTTCTGAAAAGGTTTCTTTTCACTTTTTATTAGTTTCGTTGTTCTTTTGGAGGAGAGTATTTTTGGAGATTCTTATTAAGTCTGCTTTTTCATTAATGTCGTCCTCCGTACTATTTCAAGCATAGCTTTTTAGGAAGTCCTCCCATCTCTGATGCCACATACATACTTTATTCCTTTTTTCAGTAGTGCCTTGGCCACTCTAAGCCTTTTGATTTTCCATATTAATGTTAGGATCAACTTGACAGTTCTAAATGGTCCACTGGAATTTTTTTTCGAATTGAATTAAATCACTTTGAGAAAAACTGGCATATTTTCCATTCTCAGTGTTCCTGTCCATAAAAATAGGCTATCCTCAATTTAGAAAATGTTCAGTTTATTTCAATAACATTTTATAGGGGTGCCTGGCTGACTCAGTCAGTAGAGCATACGACTTTTGATCTCAGGGTTGTGGGTTCGAGCCCCATGCTGGATGTAGAGATTACTTAAAAATAAACTCTTTAAAAAAATAAAATTTTATAGTTTTTGTATAAGTCTTACATTTCTTTTAAAGATTTATTTATTTATTTGAGAGAGTTGGGGGGGAGGGGCAAAGGGAGAGGTGGAGAGAGAGAGAAATCCTAAGCAGACTCACAGCCAAGCATGGAGGCTGACTCCCGGTTTGATCCCACAACCCTGAGATCACAACCTGAGCCGAAATCAAGAGTCGGTCGCTTACCCAACTGAGCCACCCATGTGTCCCACATATCTTTTGATTTATTTCTGTAACTTTATTGCTAATGTAAATGTATCTTTTTAAATTAAAATTTTTATCTATTTTGATGTATAGAAATTCACTGATTTCTGTATTTTTATTTTATAACCAGCTACACTCCTGAACTCTGATTTAAAATAATTTGCTGCGCCGCCTGGGTGGCTCAGTGGGTTAAGCGTCTGCCTTTGGCTCGGGTCATGATTTCAGGGTCCTGGAATCTAGCCCTGTGTCAGGCTCTCCGGTCAGCAGGGAGTCTGCTTCTCCCTCTGTCTCCTTCTACCCCTCTCCCTTGTTCATGTGCTTGCTCTCTCTCTCTCTCACTCACTCAAATAAATAAAATCTTTTTTTATAAATATGTCATTGTGTTGACATATTTTTGTTGATTTTTTTTAAAAGCTTTTATTATTTGGGAGAGAGGGAGAGTTTGCCCTGTGACCTCAATTCTCTGATATGAGTTGTTCATTTTCAGTTTGTTCAGCATTTGTCTTGTGAGAATGGAGCAAACACAAGAAGTTAGTAGCATTTTTTGTAATATAAGCTGGCTGGCTTTCATTTTTCTGAAGCTGTCCTTATTTCATTCTTAGTTTTGAAGGATATTTTTGCTAGCTATAGAATTCTTTGGAAGTTTTTATTTTCCTTAAAGATGTCATCTTGTCTTTTGGCCTCCATTGTTTCTAATGAAGTCAATATAATTTTTTACATTTCTTTCCCTGTATTTAATGCTCCCTTTTCTCCAGTCTGTTTTCAAGATATCCTCTTTATTTTGGTTTTCACCAGTTTTACTGTGATAAGCCTTAATATGGTTTTCTTTGTATTTCTCCTGCTTGGTATTTATGGAGCTTCTTGGATATGTGCGTCAATATTTTTCATCAAATTTGGGGAATTTCTTACCATTATTAATTTTTTTATATCCTAATCTTTTTCTCCTGGGAGATATCTATATATTTATATATGTATATATGCATATGTATATCTATATTTATATTTATAGATATATCTGTTTTATACAATTCCTTGGGTCCTTGATGCTCTGTTTATTTTTCTTTAATCATTTTTCTTTAGGTTCTTTATTTCTTTATTTTTTAAAGATTTTATTTATTTATTTGTTAGAGAGCATAAGCAGGGGGTGGAGGGGCAGGCAGAGGGAGAGGGAGAAGCAGGCTCCCTGCTGAGCAAGGAACCCGATGCAGGACTTGATCCCAGGACCGTGGGATCATGACCTGAGCCGAAGGCAGACGCTTAATCGACTGAGCCACCCCCAGGTGTCCCTCTCTAAGTTCTTTGATTGAAAAATGTTTATTGACCTTTCTTCATTTTCTCTGAGTCTTTTTCTTGCCATCTTCAGTCTACTATAAAGCCTATCCATTGAGGTTTCAATTTCGGGTTACACTTTTCAGTTCTAGAATTTCCCTTTGGGTTTTTTCAGTTTCCGTTTCTCTGTTAAGATTTTTTAAATCTGTTTATTCATTTAGTCCATATTTGCTTTTAATTTTTTGAATGTTTTGCTTTAGGTCTTTGAATATATTTTAGAATAGGTGTTTTAAAGTACATATATATTTAATCCACTGTCTTGGCTATCTGTCTCATGGTTGGTTTCAGTTGTATAGAGGCTCACATTTTCTTGTAGTTCTCTCTGATAAGTTTTGATTATATACTTGTCACTGTTAATATGTTTTAGAGACTTTAGATTCTATTAGCTTTTTCTGAAGAAGGCTTATTTATGTTTAAGCAGGCATTTTCATGGCATATCATGTTGAGCTTGTGTAGTCTGTATTTTTCACTCTGTTAACAGATGGATCTGTGGAACTCCTAAGGTGTTACAGTCTGCAGGACTCATTGTCTAAATCTATTTTGCCTACAGATTTTGTAAGGGCTTTGTTTTTGCTTTGCCACAGTGTAAGTTAGTGAGTACTCATAAGGTCTCTCTACTGTGGTTGGTCCAGACTGTCAGTATCCCCCAGCATTGCTTGATTTCTAGTATCTCTGTCCTGTTCCCAACCCTAATAGCTGTTCGCTGTTAGGCCTCATCTAGTCTCACTCTATTAACGTGTTCCCAGTTCTAGTCCAAGGACTCACAGTCTTCTGGTGCCTTCCTCTTCAGTGTTTTGACCCCAGATTCCAGGCTTCCCCAAACTTATCTCTAATTTCTCAGCCCATTGTGGCCATTGTAGGTTTAATGGGTCGCCATGAAGAAATTGTCTCCAAGCGAAGAGCCTGGGCAGTTGTAGGCTTACCTGTTGAGTTTTCCTTAGAAATCACAGTATTGCACTTCCTCTTGTTCAGTACCTGAAAACAACTGCCTCATACATTTTGTCTAGTTTTACGGCTGGCTGTTATAAAAGGGCAGTTTGGCATCACTAATTTCATTACAGTTGGTAATGAAAAATTTCGCCATTATTTGTTTTTTTAAAAAAAGAGAATCCTTAACTTTGAAATATTTTTCATCTTTCCTAGTAGAAAACAATCATTAAGATTATTTAACAGATGATGTAAAACTTGTATCTTATGCAGAACATATTTTGATAGCAAATTTTATGGATTAGACATATTAATTGATATTTAATAAAAGGAATGTGAAACATACCTCATTATTAGATGGCTTAATGGTACAAATAACGCCAGAGACTATGGATGGCTTGCGGCTTGCTCTACGAGAACAAAAAGACTTTAAAATTACATGTGGGAAAGTTGATGCTGTAGACCTAAGAGAATATGTGGATATCTGCTGGGTAGATTCTGAAGAAAAAGGAAACCAAGGGTAAGAAATTTTTGTTACTAAAATGTAATTGATTTGATGGAGGGGGAAGGCTAAAAAATCCTAACAAATTAAACATTTTATGAATAAATATAGAATTATACCATTAATTTAAATGCTTATACACTAATGAATGTAGTTTGTTTTTTCAAACGTGTACCTAACCTGCCTCATGTGTATTTTCTTGGCCAGGATGCTATAAGCTATTAAAGGATGGTCAGTTTGGGAGGGGACAGTGATAAAATGTGCATTGTGTAGCAGTGTGACCTTGACGCCAAGGTTGTGAAAGGCAATATACTTTTTCTGTTGTTTCGTACCTATTTTTGTGAAGTAAAGGATACCCTTTGGATGTTTAGTTTGTATTTTATTGATTCACCGTAAATACAACTGAATTTAATAATATATACATTAGAGGCCTTATAGAATATTACTGTGCCACTCCTTTTCAATTACTATTTTCTTTCTTTTTTTGGAGATTGGTTAAAGGGCCTGAAGTAAAGAAGGAAAAAGAGGGCTAATGCTGAGGGATTCCAAGATAAGTTTTTAAAATTCATGAGACAGCTTTTCTGTTAGGAAACTGAGGCATTTTAAACCTCAGGTCTGAATTGGGCATATGAAAGAGTAGATATATTTTGCTACACAATCAAGAAATCTTGGTAAATGAATGGACTATAGTTTTAATTATTTTGTATGTAACTGAGTTATCTTAGTGCTATATAGTTTTCATGTATATTTTCCTTATTTGTTCAAATCTAATAACTCATTTCATAGAAAGCATTTTGGTACTAATAATACTACTGTATTATGTTTTATTCTATAGTGTTATTAGTTCAGTGGATGGAATATCATTACAAGGATTTCCAAGTGAAAAAATAAAACTGGAAGCAGATTTTGAAACCGATGAGAAGACTGTAAAGTGTACTGAGGTAACTGAGAAAGATTCCTTCCCTTTACATGTTGTGTTTGGATATGGCTTTTATTTTTTTTGAACTTGGGAGATTTCTCATTGCAGCTTATTAATACTTTTTACATTACATCTTGAAACACACATTTATTTTCACCCAGACTGCCTTTTTTATATCAGATTTGGATTTCCGTAAGACTATTTCAGGCTATTGTATGGTGTTACTCCCTGCCAACTCAGTTAAGTTTTGGCAGCATTGCCATCTTTGTACAGTATATGTTATTTGACCATATTATTTTCATTTTTCTCTTATTTTACAAAAAATATATATGTAAATTAAAACTAACTTATGTATGTATGTATGTATTTATTTTAAGTAGGCTCCATGCTGGGCCTACTTTAATGCAGGGCTTAAACTCACAACCCCAAGATCAAAACCTGAGCTCAGATTAAGAGTCAGATGCTTAGCTGACTGAGCCACCCGGGCACCCCCCAAAATAAAATATTTTTATAGATACCAGTTTATAATCAGCATTCACATACGAAAATTATTTTTGCATGTTCCAACTTTTTTTAAACTAAGAGGATATGAAATTATAGACTCCCAACCCCTTAGTCTACTTCCATACTCCTTTTCACTCTGCCTCCTGGGTCAGGCAATCTGTTACTAATTTCTTCTGTATTCTCTGTGATTTTATACATGTACAAGATAGATAGAAACTATAGAGGATATAGAAATTATGGAACATCAGGGTGCCTGGGTGGCTCAGTTGGCTGAGTGTCTGCCTTCGGCTCAGGTCGTGATCTTGGGGCCCTGGGATCGAGCCCCCACATCGGGCTCCCTGCTCAGCGGGGAGCCTGCTTCTCCCTCTCCCTCTGTCTGCTGCTCCCCGTTTGTGCTCTCTCTCAAATAAATAAATAAAATCTTTAACAACAACAAAAAAAGAAATTATAATATGTTATTTCTTTGTTTGATCTTAACTTTATTAAGATGTCCTTACAGGAAGGTGATATTATAGGGTGGACTCATTAGTACACTTCTCTAAACTGAATTAATAGGGCTTTTGTTGCTACAGGTTAATTTTAGGTAAAAATAGCTAGGTCATGCCATAGTCCATAATCTTTGGTTTTAGGCTTTTACTACTTACAGATCAAGATATATATATTTACACACAAAATGTTTTTTATTTTAAAGATTTTATTTATTTGAGAGAAAGAGAGGGAGAGTGAACACCAGTAGGGGGAGAGGCAGAGGGAGAAGCAGGCCCCCCCGCTGAGCAAGGGATTCCCGACATGGGGCTTGATCCCAGGACCCTAGGATCATGACCCCAGCCGAAGGCAGACACTTAACTGACTGAGCCACCTGGGTGTCCCACACACAATGCTTTTTTCAACTAATGAATTTCATGGCATTAACATTGGATGTTATTAATAAAGTTGAATTGAAAGTAGCAATTGTCTTTTTAAAGCTGCTTTTAATCTTAATCATGACTTGTTTCCTAATTAAATACATTTCAGGTGTTCTACTTTCTAAAGGACCAGGATTTATCTGTTTCAGCAACTCGTTATCAGTTTGCAAAAGAAATAGCCATGGCTTGTAGTGCTGCGCTGTGCCCTCACCTAAAAACTCTAAAGAGTAATGGGATGAATAAAATTGGCCTCAGAGTTTCCATTGACACTGATATGGTGAGACGTTTTTGTGATGTATTTTTGAAATGAATGTATCATATATTAAAATAATCAAAAGTTTCTTCTTTAACCTTTTATTTGGGATGAATGAAGAGAACTAAACTTTGTTGAACATCAGTGTGTGCTACGTTCTTCCTCTACATTATTACCTTTACTCTCTACAACAGGGGTCAGCAAACTTTTTTGTAAAAGGCTAGACAGTAAATATTTTAAGCACTGTGGGCTGTATGATGTCTTTTACAACTATTCAGTCGTGCCATTATAGTGCACAAGTGGCCACAGACAGTATATAAACTAATGAGCTCACTATGTTCCAATGAAACTTTGTTTACAAAAATAGTTGGTGGGCCACATTGGCCCACAGGCCATAGTTTGCTGATCTCTGCACTATAGCAATCTTGCTTGATAAGTAGGTTTTTAATTTTTTCATTCTGACTTTATTCTATATTCACATGATTTAAAATTACAGAAGTCCAAAAGTGTTAAAAAAAGGAAAACTTAGTCTTTTCCTTCCCATGTAAGGAAAAGGTAAGGAAGTTTCCTTCCCATGTAAGGAAAAACCAGTTCTTCCCTACTGTGTCTTTCCTTCCTGTGAGTCTCCTTTACTACTCACACAAAATACTTGATTTCTGACATTTCTGGTCACCAAATATGTAGAGGATTTCCTCCTTCCAACAAGTAGTTCTTGGACACCAGCAGGATATCCAGGAATTCAACTCGATTTTGACACCATCTACCCAGATATCACCAGATCCCATAGGTTAAGGGTTCAGTCCTATAAGACTGTGCCCCCACATGCCTTCAGATGCTGACCATAAGCCCAGGTTATTGGCTGTGTTTCTGACCAACCAACTATAGATCAGAAGTTCTAATAACCCCCTCCTTGGGTTTAATTAATTTGCTAGAGCAGCTCACAGAACTCAGGGAAACATGTTAACCAGTTTATTAAAGGTTATACAGATGAAGAAATATACATAGGGTAAGGTTTGGGAGGTTCTTAAGCATAGGTACTTCTGTCTCAGCGGAGTTGGAGTGTGTCACCCTCCTGGTATGGATGTATTAGCTGGCCTGAAGCTCTCCAAACCTTCCTCTATAGGGATTTTATGGAGACTTCCTCATGTAGGCATGATTTAGCTCCATTTTGTAACCCCTCTCCCCTCTTTGGAAGATGAGGGCTGGGCTGAAAAATCTAAAGCTTCTAATTATGGTTTGGTCTTTCTGGTGACCAGTTCCCATCCAGGAGCCCACCCAGAGTCACCTCATTAAAAGATATTCCTAGTGTTCTTATCACTTAGGAATGTACAATGTGAAATACAAATATTAGAACAAGAGATATTCAGAATGTTCTTACCACTTAAGAAATTACAAGGGTTTCAGGAGCTGTGTACGAGGAACCAGAGGTAGAGAACAATATATATTTTCTGTTACCTTGCAAGTGTGTGTATAATAGGACCATCTTATCCAACATTTCCAGAGAGCAACATTCATGTTGTCATCTATGTAATGGGTAGCCCCTAGAGATATTAACTCCAGGCTACAATGTAAATGGTTCCCAGTAGAGCTGTATAAGGTAATAGCCCTGGAAAGATCTCCTTCCCACTCTTGACTCTCAACCCTGTAGTCTATCTCCATACTCCTCCTCATCCTCCCTTCCTGGTCAGGCAATCAAATGTTACCCATTTCTTGGAGTCTCTGTGATTTTTTTGCATGTACAGCCAAATAAGTATGTAAGTCCTTTTCATTTCTCCCTTTACTCTTACTTTTTCTGACTTTGCTTCTTTAAGATCTTAATTAGAGATATTTCATATTACTACCTATTCTTTTTAACAGTTGCATAGTAGTCGTTGATTATATAAATGTACCATAATTTATTTAACTAGTTTTTATGTAAATTTAGTATGCACTGATTGACATTGAGGTTATCCACAATATTTTGCTTCTGCATAAAGTGTGAGTATAACAAATATTCTAAGAAGTAGAATTGCCAGGTCTAAGTATATGCTCAATAGATATTACCATATTGTCTCAAATACAGGTTACTACCACAATTTGTATGAGAAAGTTCTTTTCCCTGCATCTTTATCAAAGCAATATGTAATCAAACTTTTGAACTTTATGAATTTTATAGGTGAAAAATGGTATTCTAGTATTATTTTAATGTGCATTTCTGTTTCCAACATCCAATATAATCAATTTCAAAGCAAGTTTTTCATTAGAATGGTTAATCTAAACATGAATGAGGTCATATACTGAGGGTTTGCTTTTCTTCAGTCAGAATTTGTTAAACTCATAGTTCTTTTGGAAAGAAGAACTTATATTTTGATCTCACTGTTAAAGTTTCCTTTTTCAAGGACGTAATAATTTGTTATTTCAGCAGCCCTGTTAATTTTTTAGTCAAATATATTAAATGTAATTTTCACCAGCAACATTAAATTCAAATTAAATACTTTTGTAACAACAAATTCAAAATATTTTTAAGTCGATTTTTTAATACTATAGGTTTTTATTTAAGTCATGTTGGTAATTATTTAAAACCTTGGTTCTCTAGTGTGTTTATGTGTGCCCTGAGAAGAAACCTAAAGTATCAAGTAGTGGCATTTAAACAATTTTTATGATATCTGTGGGAGAGACAATAATTTATGTAGAAGATAAAAGAAATATAGGAGAATGTGAAACATTTTATGAGTAAAATATCAAGTATTTTCTTAACATGCTTAAAATGAATGATATTTTAAAATAGTTCATATTCATCTGCTAAGCTAAACAAGGTTGCTTACTTTCTAAGGTTGACTTACCAAGATTTTTTTTTTCCCCCCAGGTTGAATTTCAGGCAGGATCTGAAGGCCAGCTTCTTCCTCAGCATTATTTAAATGATCTTGATAGTGCTCTAATCCCTGTGATCCATGGTGGGACCTCCAACTCTACTAGTTTACCATTAGAAATAGAATTAGTATTTTTCATTATAGAAAATCTTTTTTAGTGAAAGATATGAGTCATACTATATATTGCAAACTAATTTGTTAAAACGAAATTCACTAAAGCTGAAATGCCACAAACACTAAAAGTAAATGTTTGCTGTTTGAAACACGTAAGTTTTGCTTTTTAGGCAGGAAATGATCTTTTTAAATCATTAGCACAATATTTAAATCTCTAAAAATTTAAGAGACCCACAGTTTTTGAAGCTTTGACGTAATACAAGTACTAAAAGGACAAGGATTTCTTCTGTCTTTAATAAATTTGTAGCATTTACTGTGTTATTTAAATGCAAAGCCAAAGTATCTGCACTTATGTATACCTCGTTATGCCAAGAATGATTTTAATGAAGGCTCTTTTCAGGTGTAACCTTATGAGGGAAATGGCTGTTACATTAGCCAGTTACGTTGCTGGTTTCTAAAGTCTGTTAAAAATGAATTTCAGTGACATAGACAGTTTTCAGATCTTAGTCATATGATAATTCTTTGAGTAAGGCAGATAACTTATTTGTATAATTGGAGTGGAGACCTACCTCCATGATTAGATAAACTGGTTATTTGGATTAAAATCAGAATTTTGCCTTTTTTCTTCTCAAATTATTATATATATATATATATATATATGGCTTTTTTCTTGATTAAATGGGTATTCTTAAAATAATTGTGGGTGCTTCAGAATTTTGTGCTTCTATATTTAAGTACATTGTTTTTATAGCAACATGTGATTCAGTATGTGTTTTATAAGTCTAATAATTTATAAATAGGTAATATTTTTGTATTGCAGTGTATTATTTTTCCTCCTTCCTTCAAAATATACCCCACTTTATTTACCACTTCTAAAAATGATTGACAACAGGCCATATGACCCTTGAAGTAGTCATTATGTAGCAATAAATGAAGCCTGAAACAGGTTTTTTTTTAACTTTTCCTTTAAATCTTAGAACTTTCTTGGCAAGTCTGCATATTTTCATTGACACCAATGTATTAAGTATACATTTTAATGAACTAATTACTTTTGCATATTTTAAATTCTTTATATGGTAGTTATTTTTTATAACAGGATATTAACATAAGTTAAATTCTGTGTATTTGAAACTGTTACAGAACTTTGCTCTTCAAACAGCAAAATTTTAAGAAGTACCTTGTGTTAAAAAAAAGTAACGGGGATATTTTAGTTAGTCCTTCATTTACATTATATAAAATACAATCACTATTTTGATGCTTTTTTTATTCTTATATGGTATATGTTTTTGTATCAAAAACACTCATTATATATTTCAAGATAAAGAAACTACACTAAATAACCCTGATGTAAGAAAAATACTTATGAAGCATCTCAACTTGAAGACCAAGTCAGGGTTATTAACTCAGGATCTGAGGTCTCAGGCTAGGAGAGACTGAGAATTTTACTCCACTGGTCACATGGTTCGTACTGAATCACATCTGTAGTATGAGCCAAAGATACCCTGTGAAGGAGATTATCAGTCTTCTGGAAGTAGCTACTTCATAAGCAATGTAAAATGTTGCAGCTGTTAAATAAAATGGCAACACAAAGTAACCTGTGAAATTTACTGAAATGGTGTAAGATTATTTTTATCAGTTTATGTTTTCTTTATATAGTGTGTTTATTTTGCAGTATTAGTTACGCAGTCTATGAATAATGAAATTATTTATTTATTTATTTATTTTTTTAAGTAATCTCTGCACCCAGCATGGGGCTCGAACTCATGACCCCGAGATCAAGAGTCACGTGCTGTTCTGACTGAGCCAGCCAGGTGCCCCTGAAATTACTTTAAAATAACCAAATGGTGGAGAGCTCTTCCCATGATAGGATAGCTTTAGATTTGTTTTCATAAAGCCTTTACATTTAATGATAATAGAATAATGTGCCTTTGGAGGTACATTTTAAAGTATTCTTTGTAGAGGTAGGTTTCTTATTTGGTCATGTTCTTCACATTGGTATTTTGAAATTTTAATTTTTTTAAAGGTGAAGAAATAGAATGGTTCTTTGTGTTCAGTCTACAATGATCTGTTCTTGTTCTGAGGCCTTTTTATACGGGTCTTTCTCTGAATTCTGAAATATGAAGTAAAATCTAGCCCACTTGTTCTGTGTAGCCACCCAGCAAACTTTGTGTGTCTATATACTTGCTATGTGCAGAGCATTTTGTTAGGCTTCACTGGTTGAAAGATGAATAAAATATTTCTTGTCCCTATTGGAGCTGAATGTATGAAGCAGATAATTAACAAAGTAAAAGTAACTGCTATAATAGAGATATGAATCTTGACTACATGGTTGGAAAACAACCCAGGAGGCAACCCTCTCAGGTCCCCTCCCTCTTTGGGAGCTTTATACTGTATCACTCAATAAACTTTGCTTTGTTGCCCACCAAAAAAAAAAAAAAAGGAAAACAACCCAGAAGGATAGCCATACCAATAAGGAGATGGCCAAGAACTTGTTAGATAGTGGGCATTAAACCTGGCTAGGTAAGAGATAAAAATCTGAAAAGTAGGTAATCTATAAAAAGACTGAACTTTCCCTTACTTTAAAGAGTCTACTGTGTTGTATGAATATCTTACCCTATGATTTAATCATAAAAGCAGTAGCTTGACTGTGGTGTCTCAACTGCCTAATTTTATAACAGCCTAGATTCAGATATTGTTTTATAAGTGAAGAACAGACTTTTCTTTTTTTAGTCACAACCGTAACTTTGATAACTTGACTCACATTTTAATAGAAAATATCCTGAAATAAACCAGAAACCTATAAACCCATCTTAGGTTTTAATTTTTTCTTTGTGATTATCAGAAAAGTATAAAAAAACTTATCAATATAAGTTTTACCTTCCACCTTATATGTGTCTAGCTTGTTCTTCCTACCCTCCAATCTCAAGTAATCATTTTATTAGTTTCTTAGGTATCTTCCCATGGTTTAGGTGTAGTAGCAGCAAATACAAATAGATATATGTATTTTTTTCCTCTTCTCATTTTTTATACAAAATGTAGGATGGTGTTTACACTGAAGAACACATTGACTTCCTCAATTACTTTGAGTTATGAGGTTCATATTTAGAATCTTAAAGGTTTCATGCCTTCTCAAACCACTTTTGATTGATAAAAGCATGTTACTGGAATTATGACCATATGTTTCAGTACGAGGACTATTTTTCTCGTAACAAATTTTTTATTACTAAAACACTTGCAAGTTTATTTTTTATTTAGCTGTATTTAAATCCTTTATTTTTTTTCCTACCAGACACTAAGCCTTGCCATCTAAATTTATCTCTTACCATTTAACAGATTTTTTTTCACATCATATTTTTGTAGTTTTAAATCTTTATATTCTTTCTTTTGGATTTAGCTTGGAACAGTTTAATATATAACACCTTTTGGGAAATATTTTGCACATCTGCATTGATAAAATTACAACCATATTTTCATGGTTTATACAAATGAAGGAGTGGGTTTAACTCTAGTGCTTTGTTATGAACCTCTGAATATAATAAAGGTTTTCTTTTTTTCTTTTGGTAAAATACAGTACTTCCCAGCCTCCAAGATAGCCCCCTAGTGATCCCTACCTCCTGGTATTCATACCCTTGTGTAGTCCCTTCCCACATAACATCATTGGTCTTTGTGACCAAAAGTGGCAGAAGGGTTGGGATGTCATTTCTAAAATTATGTTGTAAAAAGCTATCACTTCCATCTTTGGTGCATTTCTCCCCACTTTCTATCTTTTGTCCCTTCCTATCCTTTCCTCTTCCCTCTGTCCCTCACTCTCTATTAGATCACTCACTCTTGGGGAAGCCAGCTGCCAGGCTATTGGAGAGGCCCATTTGGCAAGGAACTGAAGCCAACAGCCACATGAGTGGAGGTGGATCCTCCAACCCCAGTCAAAGCCTTCAAATTGCAGCCATCATCCAAAGTTTGCAACCTCATAAGAACTACCAAACTAAGCCATTCTCAGATTCCTGAATCTCAGAAACTATGTAAGATAATGTTTTAAGCTGCTAAATTTTCTGGTGATTTGTTACATGCAGCAAGTAATATTAGATAACTAATATAAGATACTTACGTTTTTTGAGCAGCTATACATAAAAATTGCTACAATTAATTGCTGGCAGAATTAAGCATATTTCCTAGCAACATTTATGGATTATATGCCAAAAGTAGCATGTGCTAAGTGCGGAGAATACCAATTGAAAGAGTAGGGTTTGCCCATGTAGGAACAAAGATGCAGTTATGGGAAACTTCTTGTTTCTGGGAATTGTATGCTAGGATACTTAGGTCCATATTCCTGCTGAAAACCAAAGGTGATTAAAATATAAAAATCATCTTAAAGCATCAAGATATTAAGATAGTAAGGAATGTTCAGTCCAAAAGGAAAGAGAAAAAGAGAAGGAAAGTGGGCATGGGGTCCTACTGAGACAACCTTATGGGGTGAGGGAACAGATCAAAGTTCAAGGCCCACACAACATTGTAAATCTAATCAGAATTATGAACCTAATGGGAACTTCCCCATGACCTCCCCCCACCCCACCAAAGGATGAGGATCACCCAAAGAATCTTAAGCATTTAACTTGCTTTAGGGTGGTTCCACACTGGTGATCCCTCTAGGTGCTAGGAGGAATAAAAACATAGATCCTCTCTATAGGAAAGTAACTTCATTGCAGGCCACAAATTACTTCTCAAATATAACATTTACCAACACACAGTTAAAATACAATAGTTACATAAGGAAATTACTCCAGAGCCAAGAATTAGTAGAAAAAACGAAAAACTCCTTTAGACAGGTATTAGATTTTTGCTTTCTGTGTTTCAAGAAATAGTAAAGTATAAGGTACCTGTAGGGAATGGGAAACCATACAAAGTAATGGAGATAATTTGGGAAAGAAGTGAATACACGTGTTACAAGAATATATAAAAACTGGACTGTTAAGCTCTAATTAAATAGGTTTAATGGCACAGTAGAATACAGCCACTGGGGAGAATTTATAAACAGGTATATAAATCAGGAGAAATTATCCAGACTACAGCTGGGAAAGACAAAAAGATGGAAAGATGGAAAAAAAAACAAACATACAGAGCAGATAGTGAAAAGTCCTAACATATGCTTAATTAGCTGCAGAAGGAGAGAGGAGAATAGGATACTACAAATATTTTTAAATATAAACTTTCAAAGTCAATGAAAGACCTTACTCCACACACTTAAGAAGCTAGACAAATCCCAAACAGAATAAATAAAAAGGAATTATAGACATCTAACAGGAAAACAGGAACTTCCAGCTAGCACAGAGTCCAAGGAACAGTTTGCTCTCTCTAGTCAAACAGGAAAGGGGTTGGGGGCTATGAGACAAACTTTTGAATTTACTTGACTTATTCCAGAGGAGCTGCAGAAAAGTAGCACCCCCTCTTCACCATGTGCAAACCCTGTGAGGTGGAACCCTGCCGTACACCAAGCTCCAGACAGCAAAACAGCATCACTCCTCTCTACCTACTGATGCAGTGGGAGCAGACAATCAGACACTGCAGGGTGGAATACTGGGAATGGTGAAGGGAGGCTTAAAGCCCTGACTTTCTACCAGAACAGCAAGGAGGAAGATCTTGTAACCAGAGAGTGTGGGGGGGAGATCATAGGAAGGAACTAAGAGTGAACCTCC